AAAAAAAAAAACAAACCAACGTCAAGAGTGTGAGAACGCCACCAGTAAATGTGGCTGCAACCGTTTTCTGCACCGCTGGTGCGTGTTGTCATTTTCGCTTGATTTTATCTTCAGTTACGGCGGCGATTGAAGCTCGAATCGGCTGATGCAATCGATTTGGAAGTCCGGCGGCGACCTCAGCGCGTGGCATTTCACCGTCGCTGTCTATTTCTCCTTCGCGTTCGTGGCGGCGAGGTTTCTCCTCGATAGATATGTCTTCCGTGTAATTTTTTCTGAATGTTTTTGTGGTTGGGTTGTGATTTTTGAGTTGCGTTTTATTTGGATTTTTACATTAACTGATGAACTGTTGTTGCATTGGCTATGGCGATGATGAATCTACTCGTGAGGTCGATCGGTTTGAAGTCAGCAGTGAATAATTGAATCTGCTTGAGTTGCGGCGGCTTATTGATGTATGCTGATTTTTCTGAAGCTCATTTTTAGTCTGTAGTGTTATACGGTTATTTATTTAGCCCTAAGTTGAGCATTGCGAAGTAGCTATTGAATTGTTTTTCAGCCGTAGGTGCTGATCAAAATCTCTACAAAACTGAAAGCATTTTACTATTTGCATATAAGTGTTGTGATATATTTGAAGAACTAGATTGGATTTTATAATTTTAGTTTGATATTGGTGAATTTAGTTGTAGTGTTGTTTCTGAATATTTTTGCTTATATCAACAATTTTCTGTTGTACCTAATAGTAACAGAGAGCTTATAACAACATATATTTTGAAAAGTGTTCAGATTTTAATAAATTTCCTCATAGTTCTCCGGAGGCTTTACGAGGTGCTGCTTGCAATTTGTTAGAGAACTTGGTGTAGTAGAAAGTTGGCGCTGGCTGATTGTTGTCCGAAGTTGAGTTAGTGATGTTCTTATGGCATTTTTTTCAGCACAAGAGATAGCGACTAGTTAGGGTTCATCGTTGATTCAGTCTCTTCGTTTGTGGCTTAGCTCATTATATGTCGTCCATTGTTAATTTCTACAGATTGATCATATATGTTTTTATTACCAATCTTTGTAATTGTATGATAAAAATCGGTTGAGCTGTGAGATTCTGATTGAGGTTTTTCAAACAAAGAGGTTACATCTTAATGATTTCAGTTTAGACCTATTACAAAAATTCTGGTAACTATTGCTTTTCATAAGCAAGAATTTTTTGAAGAAGTGATGCTTTCTGGAGTATTCACCTCTTCATAATTTATTAAGGCGTAATTGATGCCTTTTGAAGTAAGTATGCTATGCAATTTGTCTTAAGCTGAGTCATGTATGTGCAATGATGGAAAAGATCTGGATCTATGTGCAGCAACACTAATCTCTTTGAAGGTTTACTGCAAAATGAATTTACACGTCTTGTTTTGTACTCTAATTTGCTCGCATTCTGCTTTCCATTAAATTCTTTGTTCCTTTGAGATAGTAACACATGCATTGCAGCTCCCTACCTTCTAGTCTAATGTATATTAAGTTTCCATTCTGTTACTTTTTCCTACCGACGAGATCATAAAGGTAGCAATCCTCGTGTCAACATCTGAATTAAACCTTATTTGAGATACAATAGGTTACCATATCAAATTTAAGGAATCAATGACTTTGTAGAAACTATACTTCGGTAATCTTAGTGCCTGATAAGAGTGTTACAACTAACAAGACAAAATGGTATAACTGGTTGGTTATTGATGTTGTCCTTACGGACTAAAGTATCTTGTATTGGAGCAATGGTTGATTAGTCATATCAAGAGTGCCAGTGTGCCACCACTATTTGTTTAGATGTTCTTTCTCACAATTGATCGCATCTGCCACAGGCATTGGCCATCTGGTTGTCGAGCCGAGGAACCTCTTTGCTCAAAAATTATAAGAAAAAGAGTTAAAATATACTGAAATGTTCGGAGTCCATGTACAAGCTGACATACTTTGCTACCATTCAGTTTTGTGTTTTAACAACTGCCTACCACGAGCCTTGGTTCAAGGATGTAAAGTTGTACTTTAGAGATTTGCCAGACCAAGAACTGAAGTAAGTGTTGTATATCACTATGGTTCGTCAAGTGGTATTTATAAATCTCCATATCAAATTGTTTTCACTCAAGAGGATGTCTTATTGTGTAGTGTTCAATTTGAAGCTTCGGTTATTTTATTCTATTTTAATTTTTTTGCATATTGGCATCGAAAGACCTATTATGTTCCTCACTCTGCATAAGCATTCTTTATGGTTGCATGATAGAATGAACGCAAGGTTGAGTACACGTAGCTAATTGGAAGTTTTGTTCATATACAGATATGTTTCATAACTTTTAACTGCTGATGCATAAACTACTTATTTGCTAGAGGTTATATTTAGATTAGCTATGTATTTTTGTTTTCAGGTTCTCTTTATAACTTATCTACATGTGCCAATGTGGGTTCTACATGTATAGCATTGGTCCTCTCCTTTTATGGGAAACTCGGAGGAAGGATTTCTCTGTGATGATGTCTCATCATATCGTGACCGTGATCCTGATTGCATTTTTATATACCACAAGGGGTGCTGCGTTTTGAATGTTTGGGGCAAGATCCCATGAATAAGGACAAAAGTTATTTGAGTCTGATTTTTGCGTTTATGTCGGTAAACATTTAGTTCTAAATGTTGAGCATGAGTATTTAATTTTTTATGTCAAATGATCGTGGTTAATGATTTTTGTACTACCGAGCCATAAGAGTTCCTTGTTTTTTACTGGAGCCATAAGAGTTCATCGAACCATGATTATTCCACAACCTAGGAATTTTGTGATTACTCATCGCCGTTAAACAAATGGTGAGAACATTTAGGTCTTGATAAGTATTAGAATTATTTTTCTTCCCAGATTTCTCGCAAGAAATGAATAATTTTCAAGATTTTGACTTTTTAATGCTAGTTACTGCAAGAAAGACTGTCATTTTTTTAGTTTGACAGTTGGGTACACTTCCTTATAGGTTTTTCCAGATAGGAGCTGTTATTCTTGCATTGCATAATGCAAATGATGTATTCATGGAAGCTGCAAAGATTTGTAAGTACGCTGAGATAGAACTTGGAGCAAGTGTGTCTTTCGGTTTGTTTGCCTTGTCTTGCCTTGTGCTTAGGCTTATGTACTTCCCGTTTCGGGTCATATGAGCATGAAGGTTTCGTTTCGAAATTATTTTCAATGGGTATCTTTTGGTTTTAGTTTTTAGTCTCATCCCCTCACATACACTTATTTTCTGGTTGCTGCTCAACAGTTACTACTCATATGAACTCATCGACCTGTCAGATCCATACTAATGGGACTATACTATGTCTTCAATACGATGTTATTCACGCTGCTTGGTTTTGTTCACATCTATTGGTGGAAACTTAAATGTGCAATGATCGTAAAGCAGTTGAAGAATAAAGGCAGGGTTGGGGAAGATATACGATCAGGTAGGCTTCTTATTCACAGGTTTTACGATTTTCATTTTTCTTTTGAAAAATATCGTGCAGCCATATACTAACACTTCTCGGTCATTGCACAGATTCAGAAGATGACGACTAGCCACTCTTCCTTAACAGAGTAGGGCACAAGCCGAAGAAAATTTCCCATGGTTTCGTCTAAGGTTCGGTTCTGCTAATGACTTGTTTACTGAAGTAGTGATAGCTCACAGCTGAAATTCCTACACAAACCCTTCTGATTTCTACTCCCCATGCAAATATTTGGTACTATGTTGCATTCTCACATCTGAAAATATGTTCTCACCATGCAAATATTTGGTACTTTCTGTATGATTATTTTTTCCTGCCATTTGTCTTCAGGAAAATTGGAAGGAAGATTTTACCTCAGCCTCCTCATTACTACACCCTGTATATGATACAATAGTTCTACATTTCACATGATTTTTGTGCATAATATACATTCACATAAATAGTGCCTTACTAAATTTTATTCAAATGGACTACTTTTCTTTGTGAGTGTATAAATCATTATATACAAAAATTATGTACATCTAGCTGCTAGTAGTGTTAAACGAACCAAGCCACTCGTGAGTACGGCTTGTTAACAGTCAAGTTCGGTTCGTTAATTTTGATAAAATGAGTCGAGCCTGAGCTTATTTATTGGCTCGAATAGTTAACGAGTCCAACTCTGCTAGGCTCGTTTACATCTCTACTAGCAGAGCTCTCTAATTGAATATATCGTTAGCCAGAAGATTTACATTTGGTAGGAACAGTGTTACACACACATACACTCACAAAAGTAGTTGAGGTATGGGTTTTTTCTTATCAAATTTTGGGAACAATATTTTAGAATTTAACCATTATATATAATTTTTTTAATGATTTTTCTATATATATGAATCTTAATTATTCCCGTCTATGTTCTTTCGATTTAATAAATTAGGTACTTTTGAATTTGTATTAGTTATAAGTAAGGGTGAACGTGGGTCGATACGGTTCGGAGATTGATAAATCTTCGGAACCGTGCCAAAATTCAGAGATCCCAAAATTCGATTTTCGGAACCGTACCAAAAAGGCGGTTCGGTTCTGTCCGGGTATTTTTATTTTTCGATTAGGTTCGGTTCTGTATTTGGGACTATTGGGAGGTTCGGTTCGGTATGGTTTGGTTCAGATCTTCGGAGATTTCTTATTGTTTTTAATTTTTTTGAATGACTATCTAATAATATTTTAATTTTTATATGCTTTAGAAAAACAACGTTCATCAATAATTCATCATATTGAAGATTTTATTTTGAAATCAATTTTAGAAGTAATTCAAACTTTTAGTTATTTAATTTTTATATGCTTTAGTAAAACCAACATTTATGAATACTTCCTCATATTAAAGATTTTATTTCGAAATCAACTTTAGAAGTAACTCTAAATTTTAGTTAAGATTAAATTTGTGCAATTAATATTGAAAATTTAAAATTCAAACAAAATATAATATTTTTTCTTACAAAAATATTCTTTAACCTTTTACATTTAAATAATGTTATAATTCAGTTCTTAATTTCAGTTTTTCGGTTCGGTACAGTATGAGACGGTTCGGTTCGGTTCTCGGTACGGATATTTGTGAAATCTCTAAAACTGTACTAATTATTTTTTCGGTTCGGTTCGATTCGGAGAAAGTCATATGGTCAGCGGTTATTTTTCGGTTCAGAGTGATTTCAGTTCATTTTTTGGAATGGTTTGGAATACTCCGAGTCTCATGCTCAGCCCTAATTATAAGTAGTTGAATTAAGTTTGTACTTTTATTTTTTATTTTTAAATAATTTTTTTGATACGGTTATCACACATAATAAAACTGAGTCTTAGAGCGTGTGTTATCCGTAGCTTTGAGTCTTTGACCTTCCGCTTAAATTTAATAGACAAAAATATTTTATTAAGTCAATGCCATGCGTCATTTTACCATAATAAAGAATATGCGCATTTCCATTAATGAAATCTCTTATTTTATTCACCCCTAATGGCTGAGATCTGTATAGCATTAGTCAATAGTATAGTACTAGTACAACACCCGTGTATTACACGGGTGCTTGTTAATTTTTTTTTCTTAAAATCTAAAATTAATGAGAAAAAGTAGTTTGAAAATTTAAATACCTTATATAAGAATATATATATTATTATATATTTATTATGACACTTTTAATTTGTGCAACTTACTTGTGTTATATTATACTAATTTTTTTTAACTTACAATATATAACTACATTACATATAAATATATCAATTGAGAAATAATTTTATTTTTCTAATGAATTTTAATAAATATTATTATTTCTTATTATTATAAAGATAAATATAATTTATTTATTTCATATATACAATATGGATGTCAAATCGACCATCAAAAGATGATTAATTTGATATATTATATATGTAAAACCAATAAGAAATACAAAAATTATCAACTTTTAAAATACATATATAATTAATAGCTTATTGAAGGAAACAAATCAAAATTCAGGGATATATTAGTCACTTAGTACCTCACTATGTAAAATTACAAAGAATTAAAGGGTTATATTAGTAAAAGTGATATTAAAATACCTAAGTTAACTAAATAATATTTATGGAATACCCGAACCTAGATTATTAATTATTAATATATCAATATTATTTATCCAAACCTAATTACGAAGCATGAGTCTTCGCCAAATAGGATTCCGAAGCACCAGAAGCAGCCACGTAGGCTCAGTGCATTCGGGAATTATATATAGGGAGGATAGGTGTAAACTTTCTTTCATTTTAATCCAAAAATATGAAAATACACTAATAATGGGTACACTTTGATTTAATGCCTATATATTAATGTCACTCATTTAGGGTACTATTCAGTTTAAATTTGTTGAATTACTACTAATATAAGTCGTCTATTTAATAATCACAACAATTTCAAGAATCTTGTGATTTTCTACTACAATGTCTATAAGAATCATTAATTTTGGGCAAGCTTTAAGAATCATATTTGTATACTTTTGATTGAAGTGTCATATAATACAAGAAATCAAATGTCATATTACAAAATAACATAAATAAAATATGTATGATATTTTATAATTTAAGTTATGCATTTTTATTACAAACAAAATATGGCAGGTCGACCTGCATGAAAATCACAAATTCTTGTGCGGATCGGTTTAACCATCAGGTGGGTCAACTTATCGTACTTAGTAAAAAAATAGTGAAATGCATAGTTGTATGAGACACCTCGAAAGTATGATTTTTTTTGCGAAATAACTATGATGAGTCGTTTTGCTTGATGATTGAGCCGACTCATATAAAAATTTGTTTATATATGTGTGTGGGGTCGATAAATAAATCGATTCACCTAACTAACGATACGATTTTATAGAATTGCATTTTGTTGTTTTTATTTGTTACATTTTGGGAATAAATTACATATATGTGTTAGATACATCATTCTCACAATCACAAAGAGCCAAAAATGGAAACATTGCCATGATCCATTTATTTTTGGTTTATTCTAAGTGTCGATGGTTGCCTGTAGCTGTCATGTTTAAATTGGCCGTAACTCATAAGGCCCCATGCGCAGATTTAAAAAAATAAAATAAAACAAATCTAAAGATGTGAGTGCAAAAGTAGTTGATATCTCCAGCATATATAGAGGTGAGCGTGGGTAATTTTGTTCGGAGATTTGAGAAATTTTCATAATTGTACAAAACTTGGGAGAGTACTAAAATTCAACATTCGGAATCGTTCTAAAAATCGGAAAATCGGTTGGTTCAAAAATATTTATTTTTCGGTATGGTTCGTTTCAGTATTCAGGACTATCAAGATGGTTCAGTTCAGTTCGATTCGGAGATCTGGAGATTTCTAATTATTTTTAAATTTTTTGAATGACTATCTAATTATATTTAAATTTTGATATGCTCTTTTTAAAAATAAAAAATAAATCCACATCCATCAATACTTAATTATATTAAATATTTTATTCTAAATCAACTTTAGAAAATATAGAAGTAACTCAAAATTTTAGTTAAGACTAAATTTGTGCAACTAATTATAAAAAAATAAAATCCAATAAAACATAATATAATTTTTACGTATTTATTGTTAACTTTTTATAGCATTTTAATTATAAGACAGAATCAGCAAAGGAAAATGTCATCAAATATAATATAAATACATTTTTCAATGAATTCCATATGAAGTATTATTAAGCGTAATATTTAAGTGAAGTTTAATTGTTATTACTATATGTTATTATATACTTTAAAAATACTAAATTATATAAGATCAAAGTTGAGATAAAATATATGATCAAGACACATCTAATGTTACAATTTGTTGTTAATTCTGATTCCTTGGTTGTGGGATGGTTCAATTTGGCTCTTGGTACGATTATATTTAAAATCTCCAAAAACCGTACCAATTTTTTTTTTCAGTTCGGTTCAGTTCATCGAATAAAGTCAAATTGATCAATGATTATTTTTCAATTCGGAGTGAATTCGGTATCTTTTTTGAGTGACTCAAAAATTCTCTGAATCTAACGATCAAGCCTACTTGAGCATATTAATACTATGTTTGGTAAAACTAACTGATAAATTAGTTGATAACATTGACTTATAGCTGAAAAACTAGCTTATTTGATAAAAGTGTTTGGTAAAATTAGCTGATAAGCTAGCTGAAATAAAAATTTCAACGATCTTATTTGAAAAGCTACCCAAGAAGCTTATGAGATAAGCTCAAGTTTTTTAAAAAAAACTTGTCCTAACAAGCGAACTTATTATAATACATGAAGCATATAAGTTAATCAAATAAGCTATAAGCTAGCTTATTTGTCTACCCAACATAGTATAATACTCACATTAAAAAACATAAAATGTCTCTAGATAATATATTTTGCGGATATGATTTAGTGATTATATATGCAGATCCCAAAACAAATTGCATATCAGTTATGTTTGGTAAACTAGCTAATAAGCTAGCTCGTAGTTTATCAGTAATTTTCGAGCTTATAGTTTATAGCTTATTACTTATAGCTGAAATGCTAGCTTATATGATAAAAGTGTTTGGTAACATTAGTTGATCAGCTAGTTAAATAAAAACTTCAATGACCTTATTCGAAAAACTACTCAAATAAGCTTATCAAATGAGCTCGAGCTTTTTAAATAAGCTTGTCCTACCAAACTGAGTTTATTTGAATATGGAAAACTTATAGACTAACCAAATAAGCTATTTAAGCTAACTTATTTGTCTACCAAACATAGTCATCATCGTGTCATATTATAGGGAAATGCTACAGTCACGTTACAGGACCATTCCGTTGGGATTTGTAATCGTTAGATCATCATATAACCGTCGTAGATAGTTGATCTAACGGTTACAAATCCCCCACGAAATGGTTCCGTAACGGGACCGTAGAATCTCCCCATATTATATTTTCAATCCGTGTGTCTTTATGTTATATTCTTATCCAATTATAATCATAATTGTTATTATGTAGATGTACTATATAGTATTTAAAATATTAAATATAAATTCATTATTTAAAGTACTATATAATATTTAAAATATTTAAAATTTAAATATAAATTCATTATTTAAAGTACCATATAATATTTAAAATATTTATAAACAAATACTGATCCAACATATTCAACATGAATTAGATCTTATGAAAACCCTATTTATTCAAGAGTAATGCTATAGGTACATAACAGTGTACATAGAGGTGTACATAACACTCACATTGAGTGAGTCCCACCAAAATTAAAAAAACAAGTGGACCCCACCCCATGTGAGTATTATGTACATCTCTATGTATATATTTATTATGTACATGTAGCATTTTCCTTTATTCAATTCGTGTAACAACTTGGCCCCAATGGGTGTTAGATTAAAAAAGTTGAGCGACGGCCCTTCCACTCAGCACCGTCGGATCACTAAGGCCGACTTTCGTCCCTGCTCGACGGGTTGACTCTTTTAATGCAAAATACAATACTAAACATAAAATTATATGTAAATCATCATAAACTGGTTATAAATAAAAAAATAATACAATTTAAAATTAAAAAACGAAATAATTAAAAGAACATATCATAAAAAGATAAATAAAATATCTATAGAATTACCATCAAATTTCCAAAACAGCACATTTATGGACCATTGGGCCCACTTTTTTGTTTAACTAAATTTTTGTGTCTTTTGGGCTAGGCCTGTTATTGCGACAATTCTTCCTCCACCGGCCACCGGGTCCCTTTAGACTCTCAAAAGAGTCAAAAATTTTAGATCATGTTTTTGTAGTCCGCCCTCGGACTCTTGACTTTCTACGAATATCTTCTAGAGACCATTTTGGCAGTCACATGAAATCTAAACCGTGAATGCCTTTATTTTTATCACAATTCACTCATAAACAAAGTGTTGAGTTGATAAGCTAATGGAGAATAGAGATCTTTCTTTTAATTAATTGTTTATTTCTTTTATTTTGATTATTATTAGTGTTATTCTAGATTTGTTAGGAAACTTATTTATTTATAACTTTATTAGAATTATTGTCTTGTTGGATAAGCAAAGAAATTTATGGTTTGAGGGTCTTATTTAAAGAGTGTTCTTCGTTTGTTTCAGTCACTTGGATTTAAATAAGAAAATGCATAGCTGCGAGATAAATCTCTTCTCATTCATATGTTACGCTACATCAGTTGATATCAGTGATGAGCCACAATCAAGGATACCGCCACGGGAGACAAGATGCTACATACGACAGGCGTGACGCCACCATCGACAACCTGAGCCGTTAGTACGAGGGGTTTGGTCGCAAATTTGAGACGATGGGTCGTCAGGTTGCATATATGTTCGAAGGAATAGGGGACATTCGACTGGCTCTTCATGCAATTGCTCAGGGCGAGCACTCGAACTGTGCCCATGACGGGGGGCGCAGTGGGATGTGCGAGGGTCGCGGTCGGGCACATACGGCGCGCCCCGCTCCCGGTCGCCTCACCCACGGGTTGAAGACGGTGGCGATGAAGACATATTGTCTCTGCGTTTACTTCATTCGGTTATCAGGCACGGGATGTCGACTATTTCGCCGTCAGTCAGCGTTGGAAGTCATCATTTCGAATCGAGATTTTCGAATTTTCAGGGGCCTTTGCTGACGCGCAAGGGTAGACCGAATATGAGGGTCCGCATCGTTTTGATGGCTAGGGGACGACTGAGTATGAAGGTCCGCCAATTTTTTACGAAGAGAATTCTATGGCGTTGGTGGCACCGGTGGGTACCGTGGCGACTGTTCAGGGTGAAACAATGGATTCCGCGAAGAAGGAGGCCTCAGTCAGGGACGTTGAGATTTTATTCCCCATGGCAGTCCTTGTCGATTTCTTCGATTGCGAGTCATTCGTCAAATTTGCTTCTACTTCGCCCAATTCAAAGGGTGCCGCTCAATTATAGTTTGGGAGTTACTTTTTATGGCGTAAGGAGCAAAAGTCAAAGATGGAGGCTTCTATAGCTACAGCTGAATCATGCCATATCAAGTTTGTGGTGGGCCATTGTGTGGACTGCATCGATGATGGCTAGATTTTGCCGGAATCTAGGGCGAATACTTTTTCACAGAGAGAGAATGATGAAGAATAGAGATCTTATTTTAATTAATTATTTATTTCTTCTATATTGATTATTATTGGTTGTATTCTAGATTTGTTAGAAACTCATTTATTTATTATTTTATTAGAATCCTTGTCAGGTTGGACATAATAGAAATGTAGGGTTTTTTCTTGGAAAAAAAAAACATAGTTTAAGAGGTGGTTTAACTAAAATATGTGTTTTTATGATAGTTTAAGATTTTTAAATGAATAAGAGACAAAGTTAGAACTTTAACATAATTCGAAGAGAAAAAGAAAATAACTCTATTGATATTCATTATTTTATAGGGCACGGCTAAAGTCCAATTGACGGAATGGTTCCGTCACGGTTTGTTATCATAGATTATCCACACAATATAATCTACTTTTCTTATTCAATGGTGGAAAACACTGCTGGTACCGTCCCGTAATAGGACCTTAGCATTTTGCTATTTTATATTCACTTCTCATTGGAGTTGAATCGGTCATTATACATGTACTCATGTAGGCTATGTGGCAACCAAATTTTGAAAAAGAAAATTAACAAAAAAAAATAGGCATCCATCAAATCAAAGATGCTTACTCGTCCGTACTTATTTCCCTCAACCTCAAATTCCCCACGTGTCACTAAATCTTAAAACCAATTTTTTTAATTAATAACCGTGTAAAACTAGTGTCCATAAAAACAGAAGACTGATGAGCTGGCACCAATATTTGGTTTTCCACTGCCACCAAACCGTATATATATCTGACTTTCGCTTTGACCACTTTTTTTTCCATCACAATCACAATCCAAATTAATTACCAAAAATCACAACTTCAGCCACCCAACATCACACAGACATGCAGCGGCCGGACAAAAGCGGCAGAGCCTCCAAGACGGCGGCGCCACCGCCACAGCCTCCTCCGCCGCGGTTGACCAGAGAGGAGGAAGTCTACGTCATGGTAGCCGCCCTGAAAAACGTCATCACCGGCGCCGCATCCCGGGGCGCGGGGGAGGATTTCGGATCACTCGCCGCCGCAGCCGCCGGAGGCGGCGGCGGCGGCGGAGGTGGATTCTCCGTTTCCGGTGACATGGAGACCTGCGGGCAGTGCGGGATAGACGGGTGCCTGGGCTGCAACTTCTTCGTCGACCGCACGGCGGCGGAGGCGGCGGCGCCGCCGTCGGAAGAGGTGAGGAAGAGGAAGAAGAAGAACTACAGGGGGGTGAGGCAGAGGCCGTGGGGGAAGTGGGCTGCGGAGATAAGGGACCCGCGGAAGGCGGCCCGAGTGTGGCTGGGGACCTTCGAAAACGCCGTGGACGCGGCACGGGCCTACGATCGGGCCGCGATCGAGTTCCGCGGGCCGAGGGCAAAGCTCAATTTCCCGTTCTCCGATTACACGGAGGCCGCCCCGGCGGCGGCGGCGGCGGGCTCGGCCTCCGGCCGGCCGCGGGAAGATTATGGCGAAGTGCAGAGGAAGAAGATTAGGCGGGAAAATGAAGGTAATTTGGGAATTGGGTCCAGCAGGAATAATAATAATAATAATAATAATAATAATAATAATAATAATAATAATAATAATAATAATAATAATA